TCTCTCTCTCTCTCTCTCTCTCTCTCTCTCTCTCTCTCTCAATGAAACAAGCACTGTTGCATATACATATGCATTGTTATATAATACCTACTTCATACATATACACTAGTAATATCACTTTATCACGATAAGCAAGTGGGCGTAATAGCAAAACGCGCCAAAATATATTCAACAATTCAGTACATGACAAACTTGTCAAATACACTATTCGGTTGACCAGATCAGCTTCAGTGACATTTTATTCGTAGTTCAGATTATATAAACTGGGTAGAAAAACAGTCAGAATCGTAAAATAATAAATGGAGATCTATCCAAGGCCACCAACCAGTTAAGTAAACAAGCCGCAATTTGGATTGAGTAATGTTTTAAACATCAATGCAATCAAATCCGTCTAGTAAAGAGATGAAAGTGACGCGGTAGGCTCTTAGAAACGGCTCATTTTGAATCAAAGCGCTGCTGCCATAATGAAGCTTTCACAATGTTCTTTTCTTCTACTGCTAACAAGTCTATCAAGAGCCAGTTGTCTATAAAAAACAACAACATGCGTATAAGCACTGCCCACCATGTACCAAGGACGTTACATGTCCTTGGTACTATGCGTATAAGCAAGGACATTATATATGTCCTTGGTATTAGCAAGAAAGTTTATCTGAGTTGGCTTAGAAATAGCAAGACATATAATGTCCTTGCTACGTAACCAGACGTGATCGAACAGAAATTTATATCTTTATCTTAATGGGCTTTTTTGAAAAACGAATAAAAGTTTCGAAGCACATGTGCCATAATTAACACACTGAAATGTTCTTTTTTTTTTACTTTTTAAAGATGAGTTTACGAATTAGCCACGCCGGTACAAAGTACTGTACCTGCGCAAAACGCGGATTTTTCATCGATTTAAAGTTATGGTGTGGCTTTACGTGACGTTATGGTCTGAGTGTTTGAACCAAGAGGTCCCGGGTTCGATCCCCAGACATGCCCGATATATGTTGTGCTCTTGCACTGGGAAAGTCATATTTACACCACTTTCCCAAACTATACATTGGAGTGACGCCCACCGGGCCTTTCGGCTAATCGTTGATACTGTGTCCAAACACTGATGAGGACACAGACGGATTTGGTGTCGCCAATGTGCAAAACTGCACATTTGCCACTAAGAACCGTACGATTATTCTAAACGCTGTGTTCATCAGTTTTTCTTATCCATTTTTTACAGTCCCGTATTGGATTCCGTAAATTGGTCTGGTACATGTTTGCCTGATGTCACGTGGAAGTAACGACGCTGACGTGGGTGTTTATTCTGTGATTAGGCAACGGCAAATAAATGTTAGGGATGGCACCTTGTGCAGTTTACAAATCTAATGCGAAAACGCGAAAAAACATAAAGATTGGAAAAAAAAAGTTCAAAATAGAGGCCACATACGTTATATTAAAAGTTGAAGCGACAACTTCAAGACATGGTATCACAGCCAACAAGTCTTTTATTTCACAGTATTCAAAGTGCAGAA